GTGTATACGATTACTCGTGTTGACAAAACCATCCCTTCTGATAACTCGTGTTCGGAGCACTCGACTGTATTATATTTATTGACACATGTAATTATAGTAATATATTCGAACGCCGTATCTGCAACACATCACATTATTATTATCTGAATTTTTTTTTTTGAGAAAAATTTAATTCGCGAGCTTCGAGTGTTTATTTACGACGGCATTGTTTTCCGGGTATTTTTCTGTTGTCCGCGATATTAAGATTTAACAAACAAATAACGCAACCGGCGAGAATATGGTTGTTACGTGGAATCATTACGTACGCGCAGACAGACGAAGAACCGTGAAGGGCACTCGAACGAAAATATTTCACGTAATGCCATGAAAGTCGAAATCATGTTTACGAGATGTATTATAACGCACGACAGTCAATAATGCAATTGATAATCATAATATGTTATGATGTAAAACGGACAGGGAATTACTAAGCTGAACAGTAATTTGCAACCGCGTAAACATTTGGACGTGATGAAAAATACGTTGTACGATTGCGTGTCGATGGAGTATAGGTGCGAACGGCAAAATACTGCTGCCAAAAGGGTTGCTTCGCTAAACGGGCGGATATCCATTGAAAATTTGTGGGGGCTTGTATTTTTTTTGTAAATATATCCCGAGGGACGCTTCGCCTCCTACACTCCTTTTGGTTTTTAATTTTTCCTGTAGGTCAGCGGTGCCTTTTTTTGGACCCAATTTACCCACGGTGACCTGATGTGAACTACATTACAGAACAAAAAAAAACCTATTGATAACCAATTTTATTAATTTTATTAAAATTTAACTTAATTATAAATTAATGCATTTTTAAACTTAAAAAAAAAATAAATAAAAATTATTGTTATTATGATTATAAATATTATATAAAATTATTATAAGGTTAAAATGAGAATATCCGAATATACAATAGAAAATATTACATTATTTGCTATAAAGTTTTTACGAAAACCATAAGGAAAAACAATTTTATACATTTTAAACTATTTGTTATGAACCGTACATAAACTACCGTACCTAATAACCGTACGGTGCCCTTAGAAAATGGTCGTGGTACCCCTAGGGCACCACGGTGCATAGTTTGGGAATCGCTGCTGTAGGTCATAAATTATAATTAATAATAGTATCGTTATTTTTAATATTTTTATAACATATAATAAACAGTTGTTTAATACAATGTTAATTCGGATTTTGATAATATCTAGTAGGTTCACTGTATTTGAATATTGTTAATATATATAACTTTTTTTTTCTTTTTGTTGACATTTCAACTGACACTTGTGGTAAGCTGGGTCCTCATGTACAGCAAAGTTTTGACAAATAATAAAGAAATACAAATACATAGTTTATAGTTTATATGAGAAAAATAAAAATATAATCAAGTATCTAGATAATAACAGCTGTAAATACTTTAATTAAAAACCAGCATTCTGGAGGATTTTGCAAATTCATTTAAAATATTTTCACTATCAACATTTTTAGTAAGGTCTTTTTCTATGCGAAGAATAGATAAATTAGTGAACCAATTTTGAAGCATGAAATTTCTCATTCATGTTTTTATTTTTCACATATCTGAACAACTACATTCATATGCTGAATAGCTAACCCCCTCGAATATCCGCCAATGATTTTAGGGATTCGCCGATTGAACCGATTATTCTTCAGTTATTCATGCACATAAAACGTATACCGTTCATGTTTTCGTCATTGATTATCAACGTAGAGGACAGAGCAAAAATAAAAAAATTAAAAACCATACAATTGTATTCTGGCACTCATTACTTTTTCATAATGTTATATTGTATTATAAAACTACATAAATATACATATTTTGAAAATACGTTCGTTTTTTTTTTAATCCAAACTCAGTGTATAATTTCGTTATCACAACAAATTAAGCTAAGTAGGCATTAACTCAATTCGGAGTATTATTACACAATATGAAAATGTATTGTTAGGGAATTTTTATGGACGAAATGATTGCAAAAAATCTTGAAATCTCAGACGTCAGTTACGTGCGCGTAGTTCAACCAATTTTAAGCGGTCTACCAGAAAAAAAATGCTGTACTTACAGATAATATATCTTGATGTCCAGATATTTGACAGCTGAATGCCTGAGTATTATTCCCTTTGGAAAAATTAAGAAGGCTGACATTTGGTCACATCTGTGAGGGGCTTGTAAGATAAAATATAAATTAACTAAATATAAATTGTTCACTTTGTTATCAAATTAGTTTTATTCTTAAAACAAAGAAATCATCGTTAAAATACATTTTATTCCAATAGTCATTAATCATTATTTTGGTACATCGATTGTTTAATCTTCATGAAATTCAAATTCAATCTCTTCTTCTAAAACTTGAATGATTGCTTTATAACTAACTTTAATATATAGTATCGGTGAGTATATTAGCTTTATGCTTACTAACCAGTTTGATTTAAATCTATCTTAATTCTTGATTTTTTAACCGTCTACAAATGTATGTTAAAATTGATGAGAGAGATTAAAACCTTCCAGGGGCTTGATAGCGTTCCAAAAGGGAGGGGATTTTCGAATTCCTTAAAATATCAACCTCTCCGTAAATAGGTAATCGTAAAACCTCGTTTCCGTGACGGAGAAACATTGACGTTTACAGAATGCTGCAGTGTACGGTCATAAATCACGGTATACGTGATTGATAAAATCGAGCAGACATATTGACGATGTACGTATCTGAGATCATCGGTCGTCAACGAGGAGAACGAGAATAATATTATTCACTTGAAATCTGATAAACAACACTATTATACGTATGTTTGTCGCGACCGGAGGAATTTATTTTATTTTATAAAGAATTATTTTTTGGTGAACGTATAATAGATCGTCTGTATGGTTAATATAGAAACTATCTATTAGTTTCTACACGGTCGGAGGATGAAATTATTCGTTATCGATAATAACAAATAAAAACCGTTCGTAGACCGCGATAAATAAATATAATTATAATAAATTATCATTCGATTCGCATAGCAATATTTGCGTTTCGACGTGTAAGCTGTTGCCGCGTTATCCTTACGCACGCATTTACACTTCCGGCGGTCGTTAAGCCGGTCTTCTCGTCATGAATACGTCATGATATTACGTAGCACTCGTGCGTCGTAAACCGTACAAGTGTGTCAATCCGAATGTTCAAACACGAAAACGAAATCGCGATCGAAACCGCGTGGCAACGCTAATTTCCGACGCGATTTTAATTATAATTAATTAAAAAAATTAAAAAAATAATTTACGCAGTAACGGCACCGCCGTTATGTGAGGCGCATAAATTGCGCACACGCGTAATACTTTGGTGTAGTATGTTTGAATACGAACAGATTAATCGTTCGATTTCTGCGCACACAAAGGCGTAAACCGTGCGCGCACCGTAATTGTACGCAATTCCGAATTCAACTACGTAGTTACGGATCTCACCGCGTCCTAAACGCGGACGCACGTACACGCGATAAACAATTGTAATCGTCGTATTCGACTCGTATTGTTGTCAACGTCGTATTACATATGGTGCCGGATATGAGATTTGGGGGGGGGAAGGGGTGCAATAGGGCATGCTCGCCCCAGACGTTGTTGGTGTATAAGGGACCTCTTAAGCTTGTGGAAAATAAAATCGAATTTGTATACTTGTTCCATCTCAGCAAGAGCGTTGCATTTTCATTGACCCCGGGCGTCAAATCGCCGACATCCGGCACTGCACGCCAGGGCTGGTCGATGGTCGTATTAAGAGGAGGGGGGGCTATATTTTTACTGAGGCCCTTTTGCAAAAAAACAGTGTCATTTTTTTTTCAGATTTAGTTATTCGCAATAAATATTAATTAAAATAAGTTTAGTTTATTTGTGTGTCGTTGAAAATTACAATAACATGGCAGCAAATCGTGGCCCCTTTCAACTCGCGACCTTGGACTACTACCCAAACCTCTCCCTTGATAACCAGCCCTGCTGTACGCGCGCATATTTATCCGCCGCTACCGATCGTTGCTTTTCGTGAATCGCAAAAATTGACCGGCAAAACGTGTAACGATAATAATAAACACCACGCGACTTGTATGACGTTCAAACGCGTCGGCCTTGTTTTCACCGATTTTTGATATCGTATGCGCGTAGTATTATTCCGTTTGGGAATAAGATAGATTCTACACGCGTAATGATCTATAATAATCCACTCGGCTTCGATCCTCGAGTGCCTCTATACTAACGTAACAACCGCGCGGAAAGCGTCATACGACAACAAGTACACGATCATACGTATGTGTGCGTGTGCGAATTCTGTCACAAAATAACTATGGATCGCGTGTACAGGGTAACCCACGAGTGTCGGTAAAGGCATTCGAGTGCCGCTTTTTTTTTCGCACGCGTATTCCTGGGCTCGCCGATTCTCATAACGAGAAATGTAACATTACGATTTTCGTTTTGTATTGTAATACTGTTTCTACTACCGAATGCGACGTGGAAAATAGCTAGAGCTGATTTTGCGGATTTCCTTTTTTCATTTTTTTTTTTTTTTTTTATTCGACCGCGTCGACCGAAGTTTCCATCGCGGGTTCTCACGGCGTTTCTTCACGGCTGATGGCAAATGTACCTAGCATTCGTATGGTCCCCAATGGTCCTAACGATTCTACTTACCGTTGCTGATATCTTGTAAATTATTCACAACAAACTTTTGAGAATTTGCATTTCCGTGCTTCGGCCGCTTCCGAATACTAGTAACATTGTACCACGTGTGTGAAAATTCTCGCGGGACGACACCCTGTACCACGAAGAATACCATAGTGTACCTATACACACGTTGTGTTCGGCGTGGCTCTTGTCGATGTAATATATTGTTTTATTACATAAACGGTGACAGGAGATTATCTCGTTCGGCTCTTATCGCATCGATTCGATATATATTACGAAAAATGGACGAAACGTTTTATTATTTTGCATTGTACCGGAGACCTCGGTGACGCTACCCGAACATCATTGCCACCGTCGCTGCCGGTCCCAGAAGCCACTGAAGTTTTATTTGAACCATTTGCGTGCATAATTTTATAGAATTTTCGCACCGCTGCCGAGTGTACGCTACATCACAATGCTCAACAAAAAGACGCTCATGCATTTGAAACTGGTAATGATTGTTTCGCTAATACCGACATAAGAATATATAATTATTAAGATTTTTTAAATCTGTAGAACTCTAAAAAAAAATCACTTAAACTGAAGTAAAAAAACACTAAAAAATGGCAATGTCATCGTTTTTAAAAAATCCATATAAAGACACATATAGATATTCTAGTTTTATATATATTATTATTTAACATATACATAACGATTAATATGGCTACAATAATACGATAATTATAAATAAAATACTCTAAAATGTTACGTTAACTATCATTCACAATCCCTTTAAGATTTTTTTTGAATTTCGATTATCTGTTGTTGTTAAATCGTTTTTTCGTGATTACACAGATTTTCACCACCAGCGTCATGGCGTTTCAGCAGTTTCTCGCCGGTGCAGTTTTTGGATATTCCGCTGTAATATTGCCGCAGCTTCAGCATCCGGATTCTCTTATCCATGCCAATTCCGAACAAGCTTCATGGATAGGTATGAATATACACATATATCATAACGAAATATTGTATATATTCAAACGGTATACGAGGATGATTTATTGACTTTTTGCAGCCAGCATTCCGTTACTGTTGTGTCCCATCGGCTCCATAGTTTTCGGCTATTTATCCGACAGGATCGGTCGGAAAAATACGCTGCAGCTGACGTACATTCCAATGATAGCGAGTTGGACGCTTCTCAGCAACGCGCATTGCTTAGAACACATTTACATCGGAAGACTTTTGGGCGGACTAGCAACTGGTGAGTAATTTATTCGGTTTAAGAACCGTTTTGGTAATCGGTTAACGATCCCACACGATTTTTAGAACGAATATTTTTACACGATATCGCGAGCCTGCAATTTTTATAAATAATTTTATTGTCAATCCAACGATTAATCGATGTACTACAACTATATATACCCGTGTAGTAATGCATTTTAAATGATAAAAATCGGACATACGATTAATAAATGATGTATCATACTACATATATTATAACAAGGGTGGCCAATATTTCGATCGCGACTACCTTTAATTTTTTTTCCAATTTTTCAGAAAACAATTTAAGTATTTATTATTTTTTTTTATAAATTTTTATATTTCTGTTCCATCCACGATTTTAAAAATTAGAGGTATAACAATTAAATACGGAAAACATATATAGCAATAAATAGCTATGAAAAACGAAATTATGCACTGAGATCGAGTGAGCTATATAGATATATTCAATGCGGAGTAGCCGGTCTGGAAAAGGGTATTTTCCAGATGGCCTGGATCATATTATGGTTTAGTGGCCCGATCATTTTGTGATAGATTTTACCCCCAAAATAACACTATTTATTTCGTTCATTAAATTGATAAAAAATATTTTAAATAATAATATTTAAAATTATTTCTCATTTGATTATTAATATTTTAAATAGAAGAAATAAAGCAAGTTCAACAGGGAACAATATAATATATATTATTGCTTAGTGACAACTTCTTTTTTTTTTTTTTTTTTGTAACTCAGAAAAACTAACTAATAATTCGATCACAAATCTATACAAGTTGGCCACCTCTGTCCTATAACACTATAGCTATTATATAATGAAATTATTATTATTATGGGTATAACTTATAAAAGCATATTATTTTTACACGAACACATACAATATAATTGTATAAATATACATATAATATACGAGTACAATTACACTGTATAATAATAATACACGGCAGCGTGGTATCTCCATAGGAATCCGGATGTTGGAAATAAAATATAATATATGTAGGTACCGACAATATACTATTTACATTTAAAGAACACGTTGCCAATCTTCGACGAACGAACATATAAACACTGATATAGTATAAAAATCTCCATGTACCGTATTTACCCAAAACCATAAGAACGTTACTCTTAACATAAGAATGAAAAATGTAAAAAGTACAAATAAAATACTCAAAATAACCCTATACGACAAATTTTGGACGTGTCAAATAAATATTTTAAAAAACTAAATTGTACCGCATTTAAACATCATTAAAGTGCTATTACATATGTCATAGGGATCTAAAAAAATCGCGTTTTTACAATATAATACAATATAAATGAATACTAAATATATCTTTACTTGCCAAAATAGACACTACCTATACATATATTAGGTATATATGGGGATTCACATAAAAAAAAAAGATCGGAAAAATTTAGTTAGAATTCATAATAGAGTAATTCGATTGGCAATAGGAATATATCGATCAAGCCCTATTCCCAGCATGCTTAAATTAGCAGGGATACTTCCTCTCAAAATAAGAATTTCAATGCAAGATTTATTTCAAAATTCGAATTAAACTAGCTTTGACATTATCGAATTTGAAATATACACCAAATATACAAAAATTAACATCATTTTTGACTTAAAACAAATCCCTCCTGGTTTCATTGCAACAACATAATAATTGATCTATCAAAATTTAAAAACGATTCTACTAACAACAATACATATAAACAAATATACTTTCAAATTGTACATGGTAACACGGGTGAGAAAATATACACAGATGCCCCAAGAAGTCTACTAGGAATAAGCGCATCGGTAATTTGGAATGACGTAAAACATACGAGTATGTACAAACTTCCAAATTTTTGTTTACCGCAGAATCATATGCAATTCTCATAGCTATACAATCATAAACTTCAAGATACTAAAAAAAAACTATCTTTCTAACTTCCTATGTCCGATTAATAATATTTAAAACCTTTATAATGCCAATGATATCAGTGTACAAATACAAAACCTACTTCGATTCATAATAGAAAAAGAAAATAATATTCAATTATATTATAAAATAAAATAAAATAAAATATTGGATACCAGGTCATTAAAATAAAATCGGAAATGAGATAGCAGATCAAGTAGTTAAATATGCCGTAACAAATCCTAAGGTTAAAGCAAGGTTAACTAATACAGTTCAGATTATAACAAAACAATATCTTAAATCACTAATTAGTAATCAGAAATGGAGAGAAAGTTGAAGATTTTCACACACAAAATTACACGAAATAAAAAAAATATAAATCATGACCTTTCCTTATAGAACTACCTAAAAAATTTAAAGTTATACTAACTCGACTCAGTATAAGTCCAACCAAATTTCCCAAAGCTACTTAATGAATAAAATTGACTCCTAAATATGATCAATTTGCGGTACACATATATAATATAATAGTCAAACACATAAAGCACATACATACATACATTTTGCACATATTTGGACATAAGGAAGTTTGTAAATTTACACGAAGAACTAACTCGCAGTCCAACCGTGAATATGCGACAACTTGAACGTGGACGATGAAATTAAATCTGTTATATTTACAAACGGACGATATAACAATAAAATCTAAATGTTTCGATATAAATAACAAGGTGAAAAGGTATCCGTAAACTTGAACGGAGTACTTATGCATTTTATTCTCTACAATTTCGGAGCATTTAAAACTATAAATATATATATATATATATAAACGTCGTTTATTTACATTTTAAAGTTAATGTTGAAAAAATGTTTATTAATTGAAAATGAAAAGCGAGTTTGTACCTTTACAATATTAAATATTCTCAATAATTAATAAAGATCCAACGATCCTATTACAAATCGTTAAGCCTTGAAGCGTTCCGGTGAAACGCACCCGTGAGTAAATGTAAAACCAGGCAGTAAGTGTTCGTAAAATATAATTGTATGCTACTCAAACAGCCGTACCGAGTTGTCGCAACCCTCGGAACTGGAACGGTCCGTCGGTTTTTTACGATGTCTTGATTTTATGGCAAGTCGTGAGTACGTGAGATGTTACAGTTTAATGAAAAACTCTTGACTCGCTTAAAAGTTAACGAACCCGGACAACACTAACGGCCATTAAAATTTTTGTTCAACGATCCGGGGGCCCGGAGTAGTCCCGATTTTTTGGCTCGAACTTTATTTACAGAAAACATTTTTTTCCGTCGGCACTCGACTCGCTACCCTTTTTCGTCCGGGGCCCGATCCAGGATGGATCGTCTGGGATCCAATTGACCATCCGCGATCTTAACGGACGGTAACGTTGACCTAACCACTATGCGCTCGCAGGTACCGGTGGCGTGATCTTCGTGTACATCGCGGAGACGAGTCCGACGGGCAGCCGGCCGTTCTACCTGATGATGTTCACACTGTTCGTGAGCCTGGGCCAGCTGACCACCGCGGCGCTGGGCGTGGTGCTGCACTGGCGCGGTGTGGCCGCGGTGTTCGGCGTGCTGTGCGCCGCGGGCGTGTGCGCGCCGTTCCTGGTGCCCGCGCCGCCGATGTGGTTGCGGTCGCGCGGCCGCCACGAGGAGGCGCGCAAGGCGGAACGGTGGTTCGGGTTCGAGCTGCCGCGGAACGAGAACGCGCCGCCGCTGCCGCCGCCACCGTGCGCGTCCGCGGCCATCGCGACGCTGTCCCGCGGCGACTCAACGTTGGCCGCGACAATAGGCCGCCGCCCAAACGTGGGCTGCTGGGCCACGTACACAGCGCCGACCGTGTGGAAGCCCGCGGCCGCCGCGCTTGCGTTCTTCGTCTGCCAGGAGTGCACCG